AAGGGCTGGGGGGGCTGCTTCTTGGAAGGGGGGCTAGCATCTCTGGGAATGGGCTGGCATCTCCCATCCCTGTGTTCTGTGGTTCCTCCAGCCCCATGTGCAGCGGTGCTGTGCAGTGTGGGGATGTCCCTCCTGGGAAATGGAGTGACATTTTTTTTGGGGTGGGTCTTATTTCAGCAGCTGGTTTTCACCCCTCCCTTTTTTTTACCTGCTGCTGCAGCTTTCCGAGCCTTGCTTCAAATCCGAGCCATGAGGAAAAAGCTGGGTCCCCTCTCACCCACCAGCTTCAACCCCATCATCGCCTCGCAGACCTCTGACTCCGAGGAGCACTCGGTCAGTGCCTGGCTGAGTGTGGGACCCCAGTCCCTTTTACCTTGCTGAGACTGGGAAGGGAAGATTTGGGGATCCATGTGCTTCCTGGGGACAGGGTTTACTTATTTAATGCAAATTGATCTTGCAAAAAACACAGAGTTGATGCTGAAAAAGAAAAGGGTTTTGAATGTCTGTTCTCTGGGTTTTACCTTCTCCTTGGGGCATCTTGATCCCACTGGGAGTGAGGGGATGCAGTGAAACGGCCCAAGGAGGATCCTCACCACATCTCCTCCCTCTCCCCAGTCCTCGGAGAACATCCCCCCTGGCTACGAGGTGGTGTCACTGCTGGAGGCCCTCAATGGGCCACTGACACCCTCCCCAGCTGCTCTGCCACTGCGTGCCCTGGGGGACCCCCCGGGCGTGGGGGCCCTGCCCTCCTACGGCAGCGATGGTCCCCTGCCCCCCCTGCGGGCACTCTCGCCCCTCGAGCGCCTGCCTGACTGCGGTCCCCCGGGGCTCAAGCTGAAGAAGAGCATCTCCAAGTGAGTACCAGGGTGGGCATGGGGGTTTGAGGGTGGTCTGGGGGCTGTGGGCAGAGGTGAAGCCCTCTGCTTTGCCCCCTCGGGCCAGGTCCATCTCGCAGAACTCCTCCATCCTGCCCGAAGAGGAGGATGAGAAATCGTGTACTGAGTCGGAGCTGAGGGTCTGCAGGAGGAGATCCCCTGCCCGGCATGAGGAGGTGAGCACTCTCTGAAACATGCTGGTCATGACTCAAGGCACTGAGGGGGGCAACAGGTTTGGGAGAAGCTTGGAACCAGAGGGGCTGGCTGGGGTTTTCCCCTCCTGGCTCTTCCTCCATCCATAAGGATGCTTGGGGGAGCTGGATCCATCCATGCTGAATATTCCCTATCCCATCTGCCCCATGGGCTCCTCTTCCAGGAATGTGGTGCGACACCAGAGAGTGAAAACATCACCCTGTCATCGTCAGGAGCCATTGACCAGTCCTCATGCACTGGGACACCTCTCTCCTCCACCATCTCGTCCCCAGAAGGTACAGCATTGTGGGGCTCACAGGTGCTGGCAAGGCAGGAGAGCAGCCTCACGGTCTCAGGCCCATCACACTGTGTGGGGATGCAGAGTGGGTTGGCATGGCCTCTTCCTACCCTACCATGGACATTGCAGGGAGCCCCAGGGTGTCACCTCAGCTTTGTCACCCATAGACCTGGCGATGAGGATCACGGGGGCACCAATCCCATCTGCTTTGTTGCTCCATAGACCCCGAAGTGGGGAGCTGTGAGCCCTGGGGACCTGCTGCTGGCAGCTTTGCACCCATCATGTCTCCATGGCATGCAGCCAGTCCTTCCTCTGCACCCCACTCCTCCCTGTTAGCCCCCTCTAAAGTTAGTGTGTGCTGTGCCACGATTCCCACCAAGGGGCTGGGGGGGTCCAGTGGCCCCATTCAGCCTCTGCTCTCCCCCAGAGCCTGTCAGCAGCAGCCTGGCTCAGTCTGTCATGTCCATGGCCTCATCTCAGAGCCAGCATTCCCAGCTCAGCACCGACACTGTGTCCTCCATGTCTGGCTCCTACATCGCTCCTGGCACAGAGGAGGAGGAGGAAGAGGAGGAGGAGGAGGAGGAGGGGGACGTGATCCCCTCACCCTTGGCTGCAAGCGCCACAGCCTCTGATGGAGAGGTAGGTGCTGGGCTTGATGGTGCCTATCATCTTCAGGCTGGAGAGCTTCCCTGTAGGATGGAACTTCTCCAAACCCACTGGCACCAGACTCAGAATTTTTTTTCCTTCCATCTTTCCCACCTTCTTCCTGCAGTCGACACCTGTGGAGTCCCCAGATCTAAACTTTGTCAGCATCTCGGCCGAGGAGCGCGATGCTGAGGTAACTGTACTGGTGGGACTGGGAGCTGTGGTGTGACCTGGCACGGGGGGACCCTGGTTGTGCCCAGCTCTGGGTGCTCACGGAAGGGGAATCTGGACATCTGGCACCACATTCCTGCGGGGCTGGGGAAGGGGCAGCCCGTGAATCCATGGACTTACAGGCTGCCCTGGGGATGGATGGGGCAGTGGGACTGTCCCCTACCCATGATCGTCTTCCTGGTTTCCCTGGGGCCAGGGATGTTTCCCCAAAGGGATCTGGGAACAGCCCCTGGCACAGCCCCCGACTAACACTTGCTGCCTTTTGCCTGTGCTACAGGGCAATGATGTGCTGGAGGACGAGGATGCCTCTCCCACACAGGAAGACGGTAAAAGGCCCTGTGTCGGTGTTGTCCCCTCCTTTCAGTTCACTGTCACCAGCTGGCAGCCACAGGTTGTGGATGCTGTAGTGTCCCCCGGGCTCCTGCCTGCCATCAGGGAGAGCCCTGGGTGACCCTGCAGGCACTGGGGTCAGGAAAACATCCATCACAGCAGGGCCACTCATGGAGGGGTTGAACACCAGTAGGTGGGGGGAAGGCACCTGGCCACGGGGACCCCAGTGAGCTCAGTGCAGGACACGGAGCAGGTGATGGTTGGTGTGCAGGATCCAGTGAGTTTTCCAACAAGCTAAGTGGGAAAGAGGCTTCTTTGTTTTTCTCCTCACCAAGGTCTTTCTTCTCATCTCTGAAAGTCTCCCTGTCTGGGCTGATTCCCATAGGAAGGGGCTGCAAAGCTGTTCCCTTTGGGATGCTTTCCTCACTTTTTTGGCCTGTCCTCGATGTGCTTTTGCAAGTCAACACATGCACATTGAGGGCTTCTCAAACAGCCAAGGAAAGAGGTGGTCATCTCTGTGCCATCAGCCACCAACTGCCCTGTATTGCTTTTGGGCAATAGGGAGGCCTGCAGTGTGCCCCCTCCCATATTGGCAAGTCTCTTGTTAGCAAAAATATTTCAAAACTGTTTCCCCATCCAACCTGGATGCTCAGCCAAGCTGGAAAGCAGGAACACTGATCCCCAAAATGTGGCCTCTGCCCTGCAGAGAGGCCCTTGTTGATAGGGAGACTCAAGTGTAACAAATGGGGACAACCAAGGGCCATGGTGGACATCCACAAGCATCCCAACAACTCTGGGAGCAGGATGGCCTTTCTCCTTAGGGCATAGTCCTGCAGCTGTTCTCAGTGGGGCTACTGGCTTATTTGGGAACATCCCTCCTGAGGTTCAGTCACCTGCATCTGATGGATGCAGGTAAGAACCTGGGGCCTGATCTCTCATACAGGTGATACTAAGAAGCAGAGTTACCTCCATCAGCCCCAAAAGCCTCCATCCCTCCGCAAAAGCTTGGCTACGGCTTCTTTTGCCCCATGCATCCAGCTGCTGCCTCCCCCTGGCATCCACACAGCTCTCACATGCACCAGTGTTGCCAGGGAGGCTCCAGGTGCCACCACAGCCTGGCTGTACCAACCAGGGACTGTTTGGCTCTGCTGTGGGGAAGGTTTGGCTGAACCTTGGGCAGGTTCATGTGTGCCAGTGCCCATCGCCGCATCGTCACTGTTCTGCTGCCCTCCGATGCGGCTGGTGCAAGGAAAGGAGCAGCTGGGGCTGTGCCCAGGTGTTATTGTCCACTCTTCACCCACTCTAACCTAGACACATTGTTTTTATCTATGTTGTTTTTTTTGGTGTTGTTTGAAAGAGGCTGGGGAGGGGAGAGGAGAAGCCCCAGAAATCCCACCCCCCAGTGCTAAAAAGGCAATGTGGAGCGCCGGCCGCGGCGTTAACTGCCTTAACTCCCTTCCAGGCCCGAGGACAGGCGCTTTCCTCGGTCTGAGGTGTGACAATAACAATGACATGGGCATCGCACACGTGAAAGCGCTGGACAATAAACTGTGCTCTGAGGCCTGCTTACCTGGTGAGTGGCCATCTGCTGAACATGAACTTGGGGTGGGGGGGACAGTTCCACTCTTCCCTGTATCCCCCCAGCCCTTTGCATCCATCCCTCCTCTCCCATTGCCATCATTCCCACCATCCCCATCCCCACCAGGTTGTCCTCACTGTGCCCCAACACCCACCTTGCCACAGGGCTGAGCACCAGGCACATCACCAGCTGTAGGTCAGGGTGGCCTGTCCCTGCTGGGATGTCCCCAGGGGGCTGCAGCCCTGCTTTGCTGGGATGCTCTATCCCTTGGCCAAGGGGCTGTTGGCACCCTGGGGGGCACCAGCCCTCCCTGGGTAGGTGGTTGTGTGGCACAGCTGTAGCGTCGTCCAGGCTTGTGGTGAGCACAGCAGTATTTTGTGTTGGGATGTGGTCCACAGCCAGTCCAACTTTACTGCAGGAGCTGCCTGCCTCCTCCTTCCTCCTAGGCCAAGGAGATGGGGCATGTCAAGTTAGGTTGTCCTACAGAGCCCCAGCATTCATCCCTCTTTCCCATTTCTTCATGCTTTCTCTCTCATCCTCCTTCCAATTCTGTTTCCTCCCACCTTCTCTCCATCCCTTTTTTCTCTTCTTCCTCCCTCCCAGGCTCCTCCGTCTGTGTGAAAGTTCATGTTCGCTCTGTGCCAACACGGTTTTCTCCACCCACGCTTGTGTCCCCTCCCTGCCCAGAGTTGCACAAAGGTGACAAATGTATTGGTGACCTCTGGTCCCTGTGTGGGCCAAAGGGGCAGTGGGCTGGGGACCCTGCCCAGCATTGCAGGCTCTGCTTCCTCAGCCTGTGTGTGGGGAAATGGGGCAAAAATCCAACACAAAGTCCTCAAAGGATCTCCATCAATACATTTGTGGACAAGCTGAAAGCAACTCTGCCCCTGCCTTGCTCCTTTGGCTAACTTTGTGGCAGGTCCCAGACCCACAGCAGGTGCTGGAGAGGCAAGAGGATGGGTGAAACCCACTGGAGGAAGAGGAAATCCTTTCTTCCCCACTGCTCCTTTGGGAAAGCCTCCTCTCCTGTTGCCTTGCCTGTTCCTGGTGGTTTCTGTGCTAGAGAAACATGGCTGAGGCTGTTTGGGAGGAACAGGCACCTGCCACAAAAGCCCAATGTCCCCTCCATCACCCTCCAGCAGCAACTGGCTGAGCCCTGCCAGCCTGGGGGGGCTGGGCAGGGAGCTTGGGGAAGGGGTCCAGCAGCACCTCTGCATTGCTGGAGGACCTGGCAAAGCATCCCTTGGCTGTGGCACCAGCCAAAGCCATCCTTGACTGCATCTCCCTTGGTTGTGCTAGGGTGAGGATGAGTTAGGGGGAGCTTTGCAGCCCAAGTGGCCCTCGCATGAGGGCAAATTCTTGCTCTGCTGTGAGGAGTGCACTGGCCTTGTCCCTCGCCTGAGCTGGGGTGCAGGATCTGACCCCTGGGCTGAGCCCAGCCAAGGATACACTCTCCATCCTTTGGCCACCATGCCTGTCCACATCTGGCAGCCGTGCTGCTTGGAGCCCTCGGCACAAAGCCACACTGCTGCCTGCATGAGGGGCGACCCAGCCTTGGCATTTGTGGGGGCAAGGGGGAGGCTGCCACTCACACCAGGGCCAGGGGCAGAGGAGGTGCAGAGTGGGGGTTTTGGGGCTGCCCATGGTCCCCTGGAGGTGGCAGAGGGGCCAGTGGGCAGAACACCAGTGGTGTTTTCCATCCCTTTTCACTCGCTGTGGTACATGATGTATTTTTTTCCACATCATGACGAGCAGTGATTACTGTTTTCTGATTTTACTTTTTCAGTTGTTGTACCAATTTGCATAGATCAGGATATTCCAATGTCCATTCCAGCAGGCATTGGAGACAAAATGTCATGTGTTGCCATGTATATTCTGGTACCACAGTTTTTGGTAGGGAATAGTCAAAGTCACATCCTGATCTATAGGTAAAGTTACAAATATGTAGACTTGAGTGGTTATAAGCTGCACCTTTGTGTCATCCACTGTTGTCACAAGGGATTTTTAGACATACATACCCTCGTTCTATGGATACTGGGGATGGATCCAGGGTCATTGTCTGGATACATTTCAAAATGACACACACAGTTCTGTGTCCAAACAGACATCTTGGGCATTCCAAGTGTTACTTTCACATAGAAACTCCCATCATTCTCTTATCACACAAGCATCTACATCAATGATTTGCCATGCATGTTCAAGCTGACCATTGTGTGTTTCCAAGAGTGGATAAGGAAGATCTTTAGGGTTGCATTATAGTGCATTAATGGTTGCAGCCGATTTATTAGCTGGAGTTAATTCCAGATGAATACTGCTCAATACCTTTGTTCCAGTTCCCAGTGTACCAGTTAGATCCCTCCTAGTGTGAGGTAATGACCTCTGGTTTAGCCAGGAAAACCATCCAGTAGAGGAATTATCAGTAAAAGGTGAACATTTTGGTCTGATAGGGGAAACTTTGCTGTGTGTGGACATTTCTACTCTCTTAAGGATCAGGATTAAACAATATTTGTTCTGTCCGGTTTCACCTCCTATGGTCTAACCAGTGAAACATTCAGGATTGATTTTGTAGGTTTTGGGGAAGTTTTCGGGGCAGTCATGGGCAGTATGCTGAGCACCCTTAAACCCTCTAGGACAAAGTCAGCTTTTGTATCATGAAGAGAGAAGACCAGTTTTGTATCTTTCAATTTAAGTCCTTTAGGCTCATAGTGGGACACAGCAGGGATGTTCCATATCTTGTGGTTTCATTTTGGCCGTGTCATTCATGAAGTTTCTAAGCACTTATACCTAGGCCGTGATGACGCCATTCACTGATTGTAGGGGACCTTGGAGATGGTTGTGGCCCTTGAGATCTGTGGTGTTCCAGAGTCCACATCTAGGATGGTCTCTAAGCCAGCAGAATGATGATGCGATTTAATAATGATATATTTGCCCAGACGAGGTGTGGGATGTGGTTCCTCAAAGCTGTTGTGAAATCTCTGCAGATTTCAATCTGGTGGGAGAGGGCTTTGGGAAGAAGTGAAAGGCCTCATCCCAGGGATTTTAGGTTTAACTAAAACCTATAGATCTGTGTCCAGGAGTGGGCTCTGCAGAGCCCTGGGATGTGCAGTGGGTTGCAAGGACTGTCCCCAGGGCTCAGAGCATTCTCTGGCCATGGCCACAGCCTGTGCCAGGGGCAGGGTGGCAGAAACAGCTTTGGAAAGAGAAACTATGGGAAGGTGCCTGCTAAAAGGCTGGTACCAAGGGAGGGCTGGGGAGCTGCTGCAGAAAACCTGCAATCCCCCAAGGGCTTTGGCTGGTTTAAAGCCACAGATACTCTGAGCTGTGAGCGATACCGCAGTGGGCCAGGGAGCCGGTTGGGTTTCTCCACAATGGGCTTTGGAAGCTGAGCTGCCCAGGGCAGGTCTGTCAGCTGGTAACAGCAGAGGACACCCCTCCTGCAGTCCAAGGGGAGGTGAGGTGGGTGGGCACAGGGCTGATACCCTGCTACAGGGCCTCCCAAGGGTGCACTGAGCTGAGCTGGGTCCCTGCACTGGAACACTGCAGTGACTTAGGCAATATCAAGCTCTTAACGGGATTTCGGTGTGCATGTACATGTGGTCCTGTTTAATTATCCATTCCCCCCGGGATCTGCAGACTTAACATGCCTCGCTCTCCAGCCTGAGCTCACCATGAAAAGCCAGCTGAAATGGCAGCTGTCACCTCCCATAAATCAGCAAGCAGCAGGATTTTGTTGCTCTCACTCTGGGAAAGCCTCAGCCCTTGGCCTTGGAGTACCCTCACACAGTCCCCCTGGCTCAGAGCTGCCCTGGGTACAGGGCTTAACCTTGATGGTTGGGAGCAGCTACTGTGCTTTAGGGATGCACCCCCTTCCTAAGGGCACCATGTAGCCTCTGATGGTTTTGGTGGTGGGACACAAGCCACAGGCAGGTGCCAAACTCTGCCACCACCCTGCTCTACCAGGAGGGTGCCTGAAGTGGGAGCCTTCAGCCGGAGAGGAGGCATGGGGGGCCCAGCTCCCCCACGCCACCTGCATGTCCACCCCTCGGTTCTCCTTGGCACAAAACCCTGGGGAGCTCCATGCATGACAGACCCCCCAGTGACAGCTCCCTGGCCTCATCCCAGCCCAAAAACGCCCCCGGCCCCCCAGTGCCCCTGTTTGCTCCCTCGTGTGCATGTCCCCGTGCCACCTCTGCTCCTGCCTTCACCATGTGCCTTCTGGTCTCTCCTGCCACGCAGCTGCTGTGCCGGACTCCTGCCCCATTAACATTGAGGAATAGGTATGAGACCTCCAGAGCCTGTGCCCACCTCGTATCCCATCACCCAGGGGGGGTTGGTCTTGCTGGCAGTCCCCTCATTGTCCAGGCCAGGGTGACATCCCTTCGTGCCTAACCTGCAGCCCCACAGGGCATCTGCCCACGTTGCTGGGCAGGGGGGCAGAGGCAGCCCCCTTCCATTTGGTTTATTCAAACCCAGCCACAGTCATGCTATGCTTCCTGTTTGGCCCTCAGCATTCCTGAAAAATCGGGGATTTAAGGGGCCTCCCCAGTCCGGAGAGGTACGTGCAGGCACACTCCTGCAGCCAAAGCCCGAAGTGGGACATGGGAGGTGTTCCCTGGGGACACTCAATTGCATCCTGCATGGAAAGATGAGCTGAGTGTACCAGTGGGCTTTGGGAGTCCCTAACCTCCTGTTTTCTCCCCCCAGGCCCAGACGCAGCCAACAACAACGTGGGGCTGCAGCAGACTCCTTGGCCCCGCTGC